CAAATGTCACATAAATGCAACATTTATCATAGAAATATATAACAGCTACACAAGTGTCACACACACATAACATATATGTAGTTTTGGTGAGGGAATAAAGGAACTTAATGACTTCCCCTCTGCTTTAACATAGCATGGTTGTCAAAAAATTTGCGGATCAGCTTCGAAAATGTAAAACCATGCACCTCAGTCCTTGTTTAAGACATTTTGAGTTCCTCAGAGGGGCGATTCGATTTGAGTCTCCGCACACAGCGGTTGGTCATTAGGTATAATATTTTTCTAAATGGTGACTAGAGGCCATGCGAACGAAAATAAAGAAAGTGTGTACGATGCAAGAAGATAAATAACACTTGGGATTGGACTCACAGTGTCGTGTGATCACGAAATTTTCACGTAACTGATCAGAGTAAATATAAGCTATCGCTAGACCTAACGAACAATCAATCGACTCGCTTGATAACGCTCGCTGCCAGGGGTTGAAAGAGAGTGTTCTATCAGAGTACAAAGCATAGAGCTTTTCGACCTTTTCCGGGATTTCTCTCTATTTTTTTTTCGTTAATTGAAAGAAACATTTCGGAACAAGTAAGCCGGCAAGTAACAACAGAATAACCAAACAAGGGTTTGTAAACATGCTAAGCGCTGTAATTTACGTTACTATAAAGTAAGCAGAGACGAAAATCCAGAGACAAAACGAAATGGGCAGTCCTAAAACTGAAGGTTTTCAAGCTCAGATAGATTGCAAGCTGACGTACGGTAATAAAAATCAAACTCAGCTAACACTCGTATAGCCGATATTTTCATGTTCAAAAAAAAATGCAGAACAAAACAAGAATGATATGAAAAATATAGCCAAACTGGCATAACCGTTAAAATGCATACTAATCATGACGGTGTCAGAGCGGCAAGCTCATCATCGCGATCTCCGGTCATCGCACTGAAGAAAGCCTCAGAAATTACATCGACCGCTCTTCGAGTGAACAAAGAGCTTGCTTTGATAGTCTTTCCGATGCGTTGAGTGGAAGGCCACATCAGTCACAGCAGGCTAGTTTTACGGCGCAGTCATCCTCAGCAATCTTCATGTTCTCATGAATTCGGCTGTCGTTTATTCATAAAACACACGCCTTGAGCAGTTTGTTATCGTTACATGAAACCCTTGCTTGTTTTTATGAGCCACATTTCGGCCGGATTTCACTGAACATTTCACTTTCAGATTCAGGCAAACGTGTTAAATTCGACCTGCCGAACTATTTAAGTTTGTAAACTATTGCAGATTGTGAATTTTGATGGTTTGACATTTTTGCTTTGCAAGCTTTGGTCTTAAGGCCTTTCCGTACTAGCGGACAAAACTGGAATTGACCCGACAAGTCAAAAGAAAAGTTTTGTCAAGACAAATTTTTGGTACGTCTCTTGCATCCGCATTAAAAATTTCAAAGCCAACAAATTCCGTCAGCGCCTGATCTGTTCATAAGACCGGCCAGCATAGTTGCCGAAGGATTCCACTTCCAATGTTTCTTTAAATTATACAATCGATCCCCGAGTTTTGCAGCAAAAGACAATTTTTGCCTTTCTAGTAAACTAATTACAGTTGAATTACACGCTAGTCGTGGCTTATACGACAAATGATTGACAACGGTTTATCGCGGTTTTGTTTCAGTATTAGTCGATTTTGCCTAATTTTTACCCGGGACAAATTTTGTTCAGTTGCCAATGCATCTGTCCGCTTCGGCCAAATTCGACTCAAGAAGTGGGTTTAGTTTCGATATCAGTACTGTTAAGAGACTGATCATGCGTGTTACCACAAATCTTTTGATCTGGCGTAGGCTAAGAAAAACGATCGCGTTTGTGAACAAAATTAACGATATAGCAACCACAAACTATTCTTACCTTGAAACCTCCGCTATAAAAGTCTCCGATCAAGACTGTGTGCATGTAGCTATCGCTATCAATTAATTATACAGTGACTTTCGCTGGTAGCATACTCATGATGGCGGAATTTTCAACAACTTCAACATACTTGGTAAAAGACACGCAAAAGTTTCTGGGAAATGTATTAATAATTAATCAGGTCAAGCCCTTGTCGCTGTGCTACTCGTTAGCTGTGCTACCAGACAGTGACACTTCGAGACACTCCTCAGGTATTTCATTCCGCTCTTCGTTGTCTGTACATTTCCTTGTAAAAGTCAAGTTTCTTTCGTTATTTTGGAAATGTTTCATCAGGGCATACAGAAAGAACTCGAGTTTGTAGAGTTTTAGGGATATTTTGGGTGTACTATACTTACGACTATACGCGACCGAAAACAAATAAAATACCATGCAACAAAAGCAAGCAGCCTAACACTGACCTTTCATGATGCATCCCTATAAACCTATTTTGTCACAGCTGAAACACACGATCTTTATTTGTTTCCTCTTCTCAGTCTATTCCGCTGACTGAATAACACTGATGATCAAAGGGCTTCGGTGAGCCAACTCGTGAATTTAAAAGGGAATAAAACTGTGTTTTGTTGAACCCTAGTTAAGAAATACAAATAACTATGGGTCAGCAGACAATGGCTGTTCCAAATGCACTCTTCTGCGACAAATCTCAATGATGCATATCTTCACGATTGTTTTTTTTTTATTCATTTCTTTCTCTTTTGTGCATAAATTATGAATATTTAAATGAGAAATGTCTAATGATAAGGCGAAAGTAGCAAAGGGAGATAACCTATCACGCAATATCACTATGGCTTCCCTGGATGTCCATCATCGATTCCGTTGCGTCGCTGGCATTGAAAGGATCTGAGTATTATGACGCCGTCTATGCCATTTTATCCATGTGCCTTGTCATGAGTACTTCTTTGACAATGCTGTTGGTGTATGCTCCAAAGGGGTGAATTTTATAGTTGCAAACCTATCATTTACACATGTGATTGTAAGGGTGTTAGGCATAACTGTACTTCATTAATCATACCTGTCAAAAAGCGTCAGCAACTTCTAACTGTTTTGGGAGTTACCTTCCCTAGACGTTGGTTTATTCCCAAACAGGTTTCGCAGGTTCCCACTCACACCTTTGCTTGGAGAAATTCGATATATAAATAAACTTTCGTGCCCAAAATTGCAACGTTATGTTCTCTGGTGATCTCTACGGTAGCCTTTTTAATCCAGATTTGTAGCTGCGCTTTTTTAATCACGGAGAACTAAAGTGAGGAAATGATTGGCAGAAACTTAAGTCTAAACAACGGTCAGATTTTGTCCTTTGAGACATGGTAAAGAGGAGTTTGTCTCAACAAAAAAAATTACAACCTAGATAGTATCAGAAATAACGGAATTATTGAATGTACAACATGAACCACTGTTTTCCAGTGTTTTAAGCCTTTAAGCCTTTTCCTCCCATGAGTGACCAAGCGAGAATTTCTCCTTACAACATCAATACAATATCGAGCATAGAAGTGGTGAGAATAAAGGAAAATATCAATTAGGGGATTATTAGTCGATCCAATAACAAATTCTCCAAACTGACATCATGAGAATTGTATGTCAGACAATAAAGAGAATTACCAGTGAGATCTTCGGAGTTAAAGGATAGGTAAAACATTGAGTGTGCTCGGCAAATAATTGGGTGGTTCAGTTATCCAGTAAGATATAATAAAGATCTAACCAACTTTAATAGAGAAGGTATGATCGAAAACTTAACAACTGAAATGTCTTCCAAGGAAATTACAATCGAAAGCAAACGAGGTTTAAACCAGATACACCGTATTCAATTCATCTTAATTCTCTCATTTTCTCCATTAAGATTTGATGAAATTTTTTCTCTTATTAAAGCAAACGAAGCCTTGTCCTTACCAGAGGAAACAAATCCCGAAGAAACGGATGAGACAATGGCAGTGGCACTGAACCCTTACACGTGCAAAGTCGTGATCAAACGTTTGAATGTGCCAGGGGCATCTAGCAGCTATTGAGATAAGGCAGACCTTTATGATAAAATTAAAGAGATTCGGCTTGAAATAATGTTCGCATACTTTTTTTTACTTTTTTTTACCATTCCGTTATTTTCAACAACGTATGTATTCCTGTTAAATAACAATTGAAGAAAATAAAATTGAAAAAACTTTGGTTCCATGAGGACGCCTCACCTTCCTTTTTTGATGTTACCGACTGTGGACCTTAACCTGCATGCAGTTGCCGAAATAATATTGCTTATGTCTTAGAAATATCAGTTTGTTATATTTAAAGTTTAGGCTGCAGAACACATTAGATACGGCATAAGTAGATTGAAAAAGTCTTTAGACATAATAAATCTCAAATTTTACGATGGCCTTGGATTCGCTTTCTTTCATTCACTCTGATTTTTCTGTCAAGTTCCATATCGTGAAAATAAGTTTCATTGAAAGTTTCTTATGGTAAATGTCCGTACTATTGTAGAAGAATGGGAAGCGAAGGTCTTTAGTCTAGGAACTCAAACTCAAGTTAAAGTCATAATTTTTGTCAAGGCTCCTGATGTGAAAGAGTGACGACACTTAACGATACTTACCCGCCTACAACGTTAACAGCCATGTGCCAACGTGTAAACTTCATCTTAGCAAGTATCTCAGTTTTCAATGAGAAAATACTGTGGATTTATCGAGACTTATTTTTATCATTATAGAACCGCGGCTTCATAACAGAGAATTGGTTTCCTGTATAGCTTCCTAAATGCGTCAGGTCTGCAACATTCGATTGAAAAAAGTGATATTCAGTACTTTAAACCATCAAAGATATTGAAAAAATTTTTTTTTATTTAGCTGTCGGTCACAATTTCATGCCAAAAAATAAATTTGAGGTGCAACTTTTAAGATACGTGAAAAAATAACTCAGTTCTGATTGGTTAAGATAAATACAGTTTTCAGGTAATTAAATGCAATTTTGTTAGTCTTTGAAAAAATTTCCTCGTGCTTATACATTCCAAATTACACTCGAAATCATGTGAAAAATTTTACATATTAGCTAATGTACTAACAGAAACCAACAAAAATTCACTTTTATGGTAGAAACTCAGTGTTACCTACAAAACATGGCATACATTCGTGTTATCGGCGTGAGATTCTTGACACGCTGAATTTCGGATTCACATCAAACCTCTCTGTCAAACAATTGAAGGAAGAATGCATGAGCAGTACGTATAGATATCACTTCTGATGCAAATGCGTAACATGCCGTATGCCTTCGACAACACTGCACTGGTATTGATAGAGCATCTCAGCGAATGTTTGGTACGTAAACCTCTTCTGGCGACTAGTATTTCGGCCGATCATGTCTGCGACTAAGCTGATATCCGAAAATAGAGTTTTTTGGTTGATAAGCGAAGCTTCGAGGCTGAACGGTAAAAATTTCAAGACAATCTCTCTCTCAAGGAAATTATCACCCGAAATACCAGCATACAAGAAGTGGGTTTATTTAATTCATAACCCTCCCATTAATTTTCGTATCGCACGTTGACAACAAAAATTTTGTTGACTTTTTTTTACTTTCTGGACCAGCATTTAAGATCAGCTTTTTAATATCACTACCAGTGAACTCCACAAAATGTTTAGTAATGAAGATAAAAAAGTGAAACTCTAAACCGGCTTTTTTCCCGCTGACTTTATCTCTTTTCGAAGGAAATAATCGGGGGACAAATATGAACGTAAATGGTGGTTATTTTGTTAAAACTACCCGATGCACCACGTGTCATAAAGTAGCCAATAGAGTCGCGCGAAAAGTGATGGGTGGGTTATAACTAGCAATATACTTTATCACGACGTTTTTCATTCAAAGTATAGAAAGAAAAGAAAAACGATCCCACGAGAAAAAGGTAGATTATTGATTCAGTACTTCACATTGTAATAGTGTAGCCATATTGGGAATACATGTTCATTTGACAGTGGAATAATTAGTAAAAATAGAAATAAAAGCTTTCTATGAGTCAACAAAGTAAACAGTCATTCATGTTGTTGACAGCAAAGTTTCTCAGCTAAATCTGTGCGATTAACAAATTCATGACACAATGCATCACTTAAGACCGTGTACGTTGCAGCTGAGCCATCCTTTTGTTTCCAATGTAGTAACATTTTGTAGATTTTTTGACGCTTTTTCTTATAGTCATCGTCAAACGCCGATAAAGTTGCTTTTTCAATTTCGAGACGACGCCCGAGTTCCTCCCAATTTTCGAGTTGGCGCGAAAGCCCCTCTAATTCCTTGTCACTGGGAACTCCTTGCTTGACTATAAACATAAAGAAATCACAGCAAAGCATCAAGATGAGGGAATAGCGAGTGGTACGTATCGAAATTCATCCCATTTCGCTGAATCCACGCATTTTTATTTTACAAAGACAAGGGGCGGGAAAATGGGGTTGGGGGTAGGGGGTTAACAGGCACGCCCATAGATATGTCCTCATTTTACCTTCAAAACGAGTTTCTCCTTTCTTTGGAGTTAAGGCGTCACACGGAGACGACTCTCCATTACGGCCACCTGCATGATAACAAATGTAAAAAAAAATCGCTAGACCAGATTTTTTGAGCCAACAGATTCATCGTGGCAATAGAGCTTTTTTGCTTTCCTTATGAAACGTCCCTTGAGGAATTTGTTGCAAGGACAGGTCGTGCTATTACATTACGCATCATTTTACACGAAATATGCACGTCCACATACGCGAACGGATGATTTCTTGCTTTTTTTTTTTTTTTTGCAAGGAAAAAAAAATTGTCATCGCCACGTAAACGGATTTGGTGACATACCATTTATATCTCTTGTTTGCCATCGAGCGAAAAACTTGAAAAAAATATTTTCCATACAACAAACAACTTGGGTAAAATAAAAGACATTCACTAAAAGAGAAAACTTGCAAGGGCACTTGTGGCACTTGCACACTTGTATCGCATTCTTAACAAATATTATGGAAAACTAATTGGAGCAGATTTTTTCGGTCTACAGATAAGCTTGTACACAGCCTTGACGATTTTCCTTATCCGCTAAGTTTTCAGGTTTTTCTGTCGTTTACGGCCATTTCATTTTACAGGTGACAAGGAGCCCTACGTACACAGACTGAATATCTTTATTTTTTAGCTTGGTGACCTATCATTTACATGCGTCCTTTAAAATTCGAGCAAAAAAAATTGGAAAAAACTACTATCCTTTCTGTAAAATAATAGCCACAGTAGAAAGACAGAGTCGTTAAAAAGGAAGTTTGCGAAGGCAATTGTGAGTATAAAGATAACAGTTTTATATCAATAAATAACTTTGGCAGCGAAACAAGGAGCTGGACTACGAGGTCACTTTCATGAAGTCTACCTTGTACCTTCTGGTCTCCTTTTGAGATGTCATGCTCTGCTTTCCCCACAAGAAGCGGTTGGTGACAATCGAACTCCTCTACTTTCACACAGTATTTCCTGTATCTCTACATTTTACTCAGCGAGAAAGTTGCTTTCTAGCAAACTGATATTGACTTAACTATTTATCGAAAAAATTTTTTTCTAATGAAAAAAACTTACCAGTTCGTTTCTTACGTTCAATGGATTCCAAAGCCTAAAAGGTAGAAGGAGATAGTGGTAATCACACAAAAGTTGTTAATTAGAGAAAGATCATTGCAGCTAGAAGAAATTTTGAAGTGTTTGTAAAAGATAAAGACTGGACAATTCAGGTTTTGATGGTAATCGAATATCCTACGAAAGTGTTGCGTGCGACAGAGCTATCTATTATGTAAATTAAATTAAGTTTTTTTTTCTAACCTGAACCCAAGGATCCAGTTCTTCTGCAGGATAGTAGGGAACAGCATCAACAGAGTGTTCACAACTCAGGCCAAAGCTTTTTAATGGAATGTAGTGGCCACAGTCAAAATGAGAGCAGCCTTCCTCTTTGTGCAATATGCAAATATTGGTTCTGTCACGACACTTATCCGGACAAGGTTCACACAACTGGCATTTCACGAACAATTCCATCGTAACTGATCGTAGCCACGGACAGGTGATGCTTAGCCTAGTCCTGCAACGCTCCAGATGACTGCAATGAACAAACATAGCAACAAGGACATCAACAACGCGAATAACGCAAGCATGACTCATTGTATCGTACATTAAACTGAAGGCATCCCACCTAGTCGAAAAAATTGGCACCCAAAAAGGGTCCTATATCCAAATGATCAGAACGATTTAAAAAGTCAAGAAAATTAAAGAAGACCTTTTAAGTTTCCCTTCATTTACGGCAACGTGACAGTATCTCATAAATTTCTTTGATTTCGGTGTTCCATTTAATATTGCTTTAACAGTAAATATTAAGTTTAAATGAAACGAAATAATGCCGCACATGTTTGTGGCTTACCTCAATAAATCTTCACAGATTCTTTTCTCTTCCATTCTATCCGAGTCTCGCGGTTTCCAGATTATCAACTTGATCACAGTTTTGTGACACTCTAAAGTGAGCTGGTACTCTTTACTGACATTGAATCGGGCGGCGTTTGAAAACAACGAGGGGGCTATACAGGAGCCACATAATTGTGAGGCCCATTCCCAAAAATGTACAACCAGTCTGCAAAACAGCCCACTTGGAACGTAGTTGGTGTTAAATGTGAGAAATACGGGCAAAGGGCCAGTGCGCATGTTTGTGCCTCTCGTATTCTTCTTTGGTGATTCCAACATACAAGGAACCAAATAAGGGTAATCTTCCCCCTTGCAGTTCTTAGAGTTGCATATAACATCAAAGCTTTCCATGATATGAATCAGTGAATTCCTAATATCATTCAATTGAAGGTGTTCAAACGCTCGATTTAGCAACTTCTGCGAAAGTAGTCCCTTTTTTCCAAGGACTTGGTAATCTTTCTGAATGACAGGGTGGTTTTTCCATGGTGGACTCACCGTAATTATCTCACATAGTATTTTAATTAACCACTGCGGGTCCAGCACGACCAAACCATCTGGATTTTTAGGGAGATCTTGGTAGATAACTCTTCCACGAGCTTGTAAAAAGTGTAGCAATTCTTCGACGTCATCTGTGTCATTTAACTGGCAAATGCCTCTAGAAATGTCCTCTGCAAAACGCTTTTTACCAACATAAAGCATCCCTTTTTTCACCATTTCGTCGACCTTTTGTTCCACACGGAGCCACTGCATAGGGATTACCTTGTTGATATGTGGCATTTTTCTAGCCAGATTCAATAATTCTGCACGCAAAGAAACGATCTGTGGGTCGTCTTCTCTGTTTGGATTTGTGTTATCTATGAAGAATGATTCTTTTGAAATATGGTCTAAGGTTGCTGGATGAGCCATGCTGCAAATGATTTCCTTCACAGATTCCATTTCCTTGCAAGGATCCTTTACACCATCAGCATGTGTACCCACGAGCACCACTGGAGGCAAAACTTGGTTAGTATCTGCCGACTTTCTTTGAAGCTCTGGCTGTCCCAAAGAGTGAACCAAGTCCAGCCATCTCATCATGTGATCGAGATTAGTGTCCTCGACGTTAGGCGAGTCTACCACTATTTCATCGTGATTAGGCGGTCTTATCCGACATTGGGCAGGAGCACTTAGCTCCATAGTAAGATCTGACACTAAGACATATATGGCTTCTTGCGATAGAAAAATTGGTTGAATGGCATGGTATACTGCCTGGCCGGCGAAATCCCAAACAAAAGGCCATATATCCTCATTGTCCGAGGTGTCGTTTCCCTTGAGGCCACGCTCTACGAGGGAAAGGACTTTCGTGGGTACTTCTTCTGGTTTTTGCTCACTTTCGACTTCCTGGAAAACTAATATTGACATTTTTTAATCAGTTATTACGTTTCTTAAACACGCTGTACAAGTGCAACAACATACAGAAGAATACCAGTTAAGCTTAGTATGATCCAGGACCGGTTGTTCAAAGCAATAGTACTTCTAACATTATTGACTGAATTTTTGCTTTGTGTATAAGAACTAAAAATATACAAAAGCTTCGCCTCACCTGAAATCGCTCACTCCTTCAGCGACCAGTGCCAAAAAAAAGCCTTCTAATATCGCATGGTTTCACGCGAGTGCATGGGCAGAAACCTTACGAGCTTAACGCATTCAAAATGACATGTTGACGTTACAAAACTGGCGCCATGGAAAGTGCTCATTCCTACACGTGAACGGTCGAGGGATTGACTCCAGGCGCTAGCAATATCTTTTTTTCCGTCTTCCTTTTTGTTTCGCATTTCCCTATTGTTTTTTAATTGTATTCTACCTAGGCATATGTTTTCTTTTCTTTTCATCCGGAACGTCACCTATTTCTGAGCCTCTCGTCTTCTTACCTTTTCCAGTTAACTGTTGGGCCCTATCTGATCGTTCTCTAAAGCTGCCGAGTAACTCCTGTGCGACCACTTCTGCGCACTTGTGGTCAAGTGCACTTGTGTCTTCAAGCAGTTCTGGATTCCTCCATGCCCCTTTTCCTGCGTTCTTGACAGGGGAAATCATTTCAATCCCATTAGTGCTGGCTTCATCTTTATCAAATGCTTCACCTCTGAGGTACCTTCTCAGACTTGTTTTGCCCACACGGTCCTGACCAATCAACACAATTTTGGTACGTCTATCGTAGGTTTCGCCTGTCTCCAGTGCTCTCCTGTACGCTTCTAGTGCCACCGGTCCCCTCGCCTGTATGTAGTCGGGGATTGGATCTGTAGCAGCTCAAAAAAGTTAAAAAACAAAACCCATTAATTTGCTCCCTCGAAAATCTAAACACATGCAGAATTAATTTTCAGTGAGCACATAAAAGTCATCTCATGTAGCAACTGTGAAAAGCCTAGTGTTACAAGGACTTCAAGAAGATATTTCTCAGTAATTTTTCTTGGGACCTTAACCGCTTAGCTGCATTTTTATTTGATTTCCGAAAGAGTGTTTCTACAATCCCGCTCCAGAATAGACTCCTCCGAAAACCATGTAAAAATCCAACTAAGCAGTAAGTGGACTAGGCTACGACAAAACTGAGAAACGTTTCAAAGATAGGTTGCTTTAATGAATTTTGCGCTACCAGAAAACTACGTGAAAATTTACAAACGCAGAAACGATCTTCCTTCGTTTTGATTTCGTTACTGACGGAGACTAAATTTCTTTCCAACTCGAATTTGCCCCAACGAAACATAAAGTATTGTCCAGGTTCATTCAATAATTTTGAATAATACAACACTAACAACAACATCAACAATTTCCATTTTATTTTTTTCCAATTTCAGGCCAATTTCATCATAAGCTATTATACATATAAGTTTTCCAAAACTTAAATTTTTTATAATAACTCAGTTATGTGAAATGTCCATTTACATGTTCACGTTAGTGAAGAAAGGAGGGTGGGGGTGGGAAGAATATTTGGGGAGAATAATATCCAGGTGTATTAAAAAAAAATTAATGCTTATCTGTTTTACCTTTATAAGGTAGCCTTTTGAAAACAATCTTTGAAAATATGGTAGATAGTAATGTTGTCACGTCAGAGGCTGCCATGCTCTTGGAAATGTTTTCAACTTTGATTTTATTTCATTTACATCTGCATACCCTGAAATACCATTGATAACTAGGTGAGCCCAGTCCACTTTAAGAATATGTGCTACAGAGACAATTCATTAAACTTTAACCAACAAAAATTCATCTATAAAACAACAAATTTGCTTCAACACAAATTGCAAATTCCTAAGGGTTTGCATCCATTTCTAACAGGAGTTTATTATAGGATTACTCTTAATACTCTAAAGAAATGTGAATCAAATGTAGCCATTTCAAAAGGCGTAGTTCTGTTTGGAGTTTAATGCACTAATCAATTCTAAGCCTCAACATGCCCCAGTGAAACCTGGGGGTATTTTACCTTTGCCTGTGTCAGATGAAAATTTCTACAAGATCTTGGTTCAATGAAAGCTTGGCTAATCAGAAGAAATTCAAGATGGTGTTAAAAAAAAATACAGCCAGTAGCATAAAAAATTGGATGGTTCATTGAAGTTTCTGCAAACAGGCTCCTTCCATACAAATATTACCAATCAGCGGTTGTTGTTATTGATTGTTTGAAAGACACATTCCAACTGTAAGGAGACAAACCGCTTAGATTGTCTCATGAATAAATGATCATTTCGAGTCAGTTTGAAGTTGTTACCATGCAATTTCACCACTGGAATCTCACATTTTATCCAAATTATGTGATTATTTCTAAAAAAATTGGAGATAAGTCAGGACTTTAAGAAAATATTTTGTGATTTTAAGGGATGAAATGAGGTTTAAAGACACTTTTGAGAATGTACAGATAGATTTTTAGGCCACCTTTTAGGATTTTAGGCCTACACCAAGACTGCAACACAATGACTTTAGCCAAAGCTAGAGCCCAGACCTCTTTATCTTAACTCCAGAATGCTAGCAATCATCTGCCAGTGCATCTCTGTCACCAGTAGGAAAACTTACCCACCAAAATTTTTATTATAAAAGTATCAATTCTGTCTCCCCGCCTACAATGCCACCTCCATCTCTTTGAGCAGATTTAACTAAACATTAAAAAAAAGGCAAAGATATCTTACTCGTCTTTCTGATTGAATTGCAACTACTCCAGGAAATGACCTCAAAAGTTTATCATGATTTATTGTTGGTGGACCAGCAATGTTCCTGAAAGTGCTTTCTTCTACTCTAACTTATAACAATGCCAATCAGCTTCTGTAAGAGAAACAATACAGAGAAATTAATAAAATACATTGACTTTGAGCCATTCCATAGAACATGCGCTGAGATTGTTGTGAAACTGAATATTTTGGCTGTTGATCTTAAGGGAAAGTAAAATATGAAATAAAAAAGGGAGGTCCCATGCTCTTTTATGAGCAGCAGTACCTTCTAGAAATCCATATAATTCCAATTCAAATCATGAAAGTTGCATTTGTGAGTATTTGCTAAATTGGCTTTTCTGATTTTTTTTCCTTTTCCTTAACTAAAAATTGGTTTATAGTTGTTTGACAGAAAGAAAATAATTTCTCAATTTCAATAAAGAGAAATAATGTTACACTGAAGGTCTCCCAGCTCATTTTTGAGAAAATGACAATTTACTCTCTGATTGGCTCCAATGGAGGAAAAAAGGCACCATTCTTATGAAGAGTACACTATAGTTACATGTGAAATTATACACAGTGAGGATGTGCAATGCAGTACTAAGGAATGACCCTAAGCAAAGTATTAACATGTAATTGAATTGAAATTGCCTTGACAAAATAATTAGCCACCAGAATATCATACAGCCCATTTAATCAGGGTTTAAGACAACCGCAGGCATCAATTCATTACACTGTAAATAAGTAACATTTATTTACTTCTGGAAAGAAAATTTTGAAGATATTGGCCCTAAATCATATGCATATGAATCTTGCAATATATAGAAAACTGAAAATACATATTATGTGAACAGAATGTGAAATTGCAACCAGCTGGCTATGAACCCTTAACAAAACTACACATGAACGTCACAAATATCCCCTACATAATTACATATGCAACATATACTATATGTCACATCACATATATGACTCACATACATGCACAATCATGTCACAATCTTCACATTTCTGTCACATAAATGTAATATTTGTCATATATAAATATACATGTATGCAACAGATACATTAGTTTCACAGATTGGTTGTGAGAAAATTTGCAGATCAGCTTCAAAAAAATTAAACCACCTCAGTCCTGGTTTAGGACATTTTAAGTTTCTCAGAAGGGCGATTTGATTTGAGTCTCTACAAACAGAGGTTGGTCATTAAGTATGATTTTTCAAAATGATGACTAAAGGCCGAGCAAACGAAAATAAAGAAGGTGCCTACAATGCAGAAAATAGGTAACACTTGGGATTGGACTCATAGTATCGTTGGATCACGAACCTTGCATGTAACATAAATTTGAAGTTATCACCAGACCTAACGAATAATCAATTGACAAATAAATGTGATCCAAACTTTAATATCTTAGCTATAACAATCCCAACTTGTGGCTTAAGTTATTTGCAATAGAGTTGACCAACAAGAATCCATAGAAACAAATTCAAAACCAAGTGAGGGAGCAGAAGAGTATTGAAATAAGTCACAGTTTACCTCTGAGTCTGAACATCTCCCTGCTATCGATTGTATCAAGCAGAACTCGATTGTTTGTATGAAAACAAATGTGTATGATGAAAATTTCATGCTTGTAATACGCACACATTAAATTATATTATAAAGTAGCTTGGGTATAATGCAGGCTGTCATTAGTTGAAAGAGCATGCACTATCAGAGTACAAAGCATAGAGAGCTAAACTAAGCTGTCAAACTATCTGCCAAATTTACTACAGTATGTTTAACTTTTTGCGGGCCTTCTCTCCAGTTTTTTTTCATTAATTGAAAGAGAAAATTTCAGTAAGCAAGGCAGCAAGTACTGTAGAACGTAAGAACCAAACAAGGGTTTGTAAACATAGCAAGTGCCATAGTTTACGTTATTAAGGTTTTTAAGGTTTTCACTGTTAGATTGCAATCTTATGTACAGTAATAAATATCAAACACATTTAAATTCCACCTCCTGAGCTATTTCAGTTTATAAACAATTGCAGATTATTGTGAATTTTGATGGTTTGACATTTCAGACAGCCTCTGAGTCTTAGGGCCTTTCACACTAGCAGACAAAACTAGAATTGCCTCAACAAAATTAAAGGACAGATTTTTGTTTTGTCTGTTGCATTCACATTTAAAAACTTCAAAGCCCACAAAT